GGCTTATTGCCGGCACACGTGGGGGCTTATTGCCGCGGCACACGGGGGGGCTTATTGCCATGGCACACGTGGGGGCTTATTGCCGCGGCACACGGCGGGGCTTATTGCTGGCACACGTGGGGGCTTATTGCCGCGGCAGGCTTGTGGGATTGTTACTGTGACACGTGTGTGGATTATTACCATGGCGTGTGTGTGTGTGGGATTATTACCGTGACACACGCGTGTGGATTATTGCCGTGGCACACACACGTGGGATTATTACCGTGGCACATGTGTGTGGGATTATTACTGTGACACGTGTGGCATTATTAACATGGCATGTGTGTGTGGGATTATTACCGTGACACACACGTGTGGATTATTACCGTGGCGCACGCGTGTGATTATTACTGTGGCACATGCATGTGACATTACTCTCAGGCAGTTTACAAGTGTAGGGGGTCTCCATCCATTTGGATTCACCTGCCCACAAATGTCGTAGTGACCTTTCCTCGCCAGGCTGGGCTGGAAACGCAGGACCCGTCTCTGTTGCCATGCTGTGTACTGGTCCGCGGCGGGCTGTTCAGGCAGGTGTGGGGACACCGTCTGTCCCCGAGGATGCTGGGGGACGTGTTTCTCACCTCCGCACCGCCCCTTTGCCCTGCGTGCTGCCTGCCCCGGCCTCTCTTCTCACCTTGTGCCCCTCCCTCCACCGTCTGCACTTCTCCCGCCCTCTCAGCTTGGGTACCTGACGCTGTTGGGCCTGGGGAGGGGGCATCGCCGGGTGGGAGGGGTGCGTGGTTCTTCGGGTGCCCCCTTTGCCAGCCTCACCGAGACCTCAGTCCTGCATTGTTCGCCACTTTGGTTTTGTGTTTGTTTCACTGTGTATCTTTGAGTGGGTGGCTTTTTCAAAGATGTTGGGGGGTCCGACCGCTGGTATCCACACATCTAGGAGCTCACAAAGCATTTTCAGGTCGCTGTGGGTGGGTGTGCGTGTGTAACTAGGACAGCCGTTCTCCTCGCTCTGGGTGGCTGTGCGCGTGATTCAGCACTGGCTGGTGGCCTCAGCGCTCAGTCGGTTGCTAAGCACCGTATCCAGGTCAGCGCACGATCACAGGTGTGTTTGTTTTGTTGCAACATGAAAGCAATTCTCGACAGCAGCTTTCTCCTGGACCAGAACAGGCCCAGATGCTCAGAGATCTTGAGCAGCCTGGAAACTTACACGACGCATGGGACCTCTGAGTCTTCCCATGGTGCCAGGGCCCAGACCTCTGATTCTGAACACTTGTCGTCTTTGCTGTCTGTTCGCTCTCACTGTCCCTGAGGGTCACCTCTGTGACCTCTGAGCCCTGGGTCACTGGTAGGCTGGGTCCTTTCACCTTGAATTTGTTGCCACCTTGCGCGTGGGGTAGTCTGCAGGAGAGATTCTGGATTTCACGTGGACATCGCCGCCGCCTTCCAGGGCTCCCCCCGTCTGGCTCCGTGCAGCTCCGTCCTGACCTCAGGCTCTCAGGCAGGCTCTTGCCCTCCCCGGCCCAGCTCCGCCTGCCGGCTTTGCTCTGGTGCCTTCTGCTGCAGGCCTCTCCCCTCCCGCCCGGCTTGACGCCTGGGGAGAGGCGCTGCCTGGACCTTGCTGGTGCTTTCCTCCTCCTGATTCGTCTCTGCCGAGTCACTCAGCCCCCGCTCCTCTTCTGCTGCCCTTTGGTTTCCTGTGCTGTGGGTCAGTCTTGTCTTAGAGGGGACAGCACCGTGGTTAAGTGCACCAGCCTGCAACCCCCGCTCTGCCACTGGCTAGTTGTGAAGCTTTGGGCAAATTACTGAGCCTGGCTGTGCCTCATCAAGGATGTGGAGCTAATAGTGTTGCCCTCTCCTGGGGGTGCTGGTCGAGGGTGTGAGTGCCTGTTGTTGCAGTAGAGGGGTGCCTGGCACGTGGTCAGCACTCACAATTACTAGGGATTTTTATTGGCAGAAATTTTCTTCCAGCTAAACCCAGGACTCTCAGCCCGTCTTGGAGTCCTGGGGTTGGAGAACACCGTCTATTTTGCTGCACTGCCCTTGTCTGTGGCCACCTTACCTAACCGTGATTAGTCTTACGGTTTTCCTGGCGATTCTCGTGGATTTTCTACGTAGCCATTCCCATCGTCTGCGTGGGCAGGCTGGTGGCTTCCTTCCAGCCCGGTCTTGACACCTCTCATTTCCCTGCAGTGTTGACAGCTGGTCCCAGGAGCTGGCGTCTTGTCTTTCCGGAACGTTCTTGTCTTTTACCGTCATTTCTGCTACATTCCTTTTGTCAGTGAGGAAGTTTCCCTCAGCGTCCAGCTTATTAAAGCTTTTTGTGAGGACAGCATGTTGCATTTTATCGAAAGCTCTTAAGATAGTCCTGTGACTTTTCCCCTCTAGTTTGTTAGTGTGGGAGACTGCGTTGGTCTGTGATCTGCTTTTCTGTGTGTGTGTTCTCCGTCTCTTCCTGGTTTGTGTAAGAGGAGTATTCTAGTCCGTGCAGGTGTGCTGGCGCTTGCCTGCCGCTCTGCCCACCCTGGTGTCTGTGCTGAGAGGTGGGCCTTCACCTGCTTCTCCTCCCCTGGTTATTGTCTCTTCAGCTCTTCTGCCACTTCTGGAGTCAATTTTGATAGTTTATATTTTCTTGGGAAATCATCCATTCCATCTGGATTTTAAAATTTATTAACGAAATTAAGCATCGTGTTTTCTCATTTCTTAATTTTTATTTCTTAGTAAAGTGTGATTTCTAATTTTGTGTGACTCTGTGCCTCAGTTTATTCATCTGTAATATGGGGACAGTAATTCTACCTGTGTCAGAGGTTGCTCTGAGCATTACACGAGTGGATATTGCCATGTGCTTAGGACAGTGCCTGAGACAGAATAAGTAGTATGTAAGTGCTAGCTGGAAATATCTTTTTTCTTCATCATATTTGTCAAGAGGTTTATTTCATTTATGTTTTGGAAAAAAAGATTTTGGTTTTATTGATCAAGTCCACCATTAGTTTGTCCTGATGGCATTGGTTCCTTCGCTCCTTCCTTCTTTTCTTTTCCTTGGCTACTTAAATCTTGAGTGTAGTTCTCTGAAAACAGTTGGAAATTGAAAACAATAACATTTATAATTGTTTCCCTGTTTTTTTCCTGATAGTGTCTGTCTGGTTCCCTGGCTTGGTGCCTGGCACATCATAGATGGAATAAGCAAATGCTTTCTCCCCCCAACTCTTCTCTGTTAATTCAGCCTCTGGTCATGCAAATTGGGCAGCATTGAAAGTAGAATCTCAGTCCTTGAACCTTTAGCCCAGAGAGTCTCAAATTTTATTGTGCATCAGAATCACTCGGAGGGCTTGTGAAAACACAGGTTGCCGGGCGCCCCCAGAGTTTCTGATTCAGCAGGTCTAGGGCCCCAGATGGATGCCGTCACTGCTGGGGCCCCTCTGAGGGGCTCTCTACTTACTGTCTTAGATGTGTGCTCTGCTGGCTCCTCCCTGGGGCGCTCTGAGAACCAGTGCCTGGCCCCCGCCAGACCAGTTAATTAGTTATCCCAGTGAGCTTAGTTAATGGTCCCGCCACATGAGGCTCTAACACACAGCAGGGTGGAGGCCTCTGCCCGCTAAGACCTTCCACAGAGGTTCTGGCTTCACTGCTGTGCCCTTGGAGTCCCCCGGGCGCTGGACTTGGACCGCTGCACTGGGCTGACGGGCGAGGGGACGGAAGAGCCATTCTGGGAGCTGCCTTCCCAGCTGCCGTTTTTGTGCTGAAAAGGCCCCAGCATGTTCTGAACTTGAAGGCTGGGAGGGAAGCTGAGAAGACCTGTCTGAGAGAGCTTTAACCTGTCCCCTCCGGATCACACTCTGGTCGTATCGAGTGTGTCGTGAGCTGCAGCTGTCAGTTCACGTCAGTTCCAGGAGCAAGTTCCACAGCCTGCATGGGAGGCCTGCCTTCTTGAGGGAGAGAGGTGTGCTTGGCGGACAGCGGGTTCCGTGTGTGGTGTAGACGGGCTCCTGGGTGTGGTGAGCCTGCTTTTTAAAGTGGGGCTGGTTTACTAGTAAACACATCTATAGGTTCATGCATTAGGTTGGCAAAAAGTACCCCTCGGGGGATCCAGGTACCCTTAATTGAAGGTTAAAGAGAACTGCAGTGCGGGACCACTCCGCGTGCTATAGTTGCCTCTTCGCAGGTGACCCTTCTGTTATACGTGCAGGAGGGGCCTTTCTGCAAAGTGGGGAGTTTTTTTGGTGCAAATACGCACTCTGTAATTTTCCCATCTTACAGATTGGATTTCGCTATTTCACTGTATGTCTTTAAGTCCTTTTGGAATTTCTTCGTATCGATGCTTTCCTTGAAGTGACGCTCGTTTCTCGGGTGCGCGTGGTGTTTTGCTTGGCTTTCTGTATTGGCCGCTGGGGACGGGGACGCAGGAACGTGGCGAATGCGCTGAGAGTGCTGCTTGTGCTTTCCCTTGAAATGCAGTGGTCCCCTTGGCTGCTGAGAGTGTTTGCTCTCTGCATGACCAATGACGACTCCTCCCTCCCACTTCCAGGGTGTGCTGGACCGCTTCTCTCAAATTCAGCCGAAGCTCCTCTTGTCCGTGGAGGCCGTCGTCTACAACCGCAAAGAGCACGGCCACATGGACAAGCTGCAGCAGGTCGTTAAAGGTGTGTGGCTCTTCCGGGTCAGGGCTGGCAGGGCGGGGGGCGGGGTGCAGAGATAGCAGCCCCCCAGGAGTCACAAAGACCCCTGGAAGCTATAAGCTGCAGAGACCGGCTAGTCTCTTCCCTAGATTGTGTTACATTTTGGGGAAAAAAAACCCAGCAGCTAGGTGCCCGTGTCCTGTAAGCTTACTACACCTTCTCCTCTCCCCCTTCAGGACTACCGGACTTGAAAAAAGTGGTGGTGATTCCCTACGTCACCTCCAGAGAGAAGATAGACATTTCGAAGATTCCAAATAGGTAAGCCGGCCACGTGCTGGTCACTGGCTCCGTGCGGAGCCCACTCGAGGTCCTGCTGGGCGGTCGGTTCTGTGAACCCTGCCACTTGGAGTCGTAGCCTTGTAGAGGTGCAGGAGGTTTTAGCTAAAGCCATTGTTTTGTAGATGGGCACCTGAGGGCCCCAGAGTGAATCCCCCGAGGCCACCTAGCGAATTAGTGCAGAAGAGAGAAGGTCCCAGGAATCCTCATGCTTCCTGTCTGGTGTCCCTTTGAAGTGGTGGGGCCTGGCTCCTTGGATTGGCCACAGCAGTTCTGAGTGGTAATTAATGCGTGTATGCATGTGCACATGTGTATGTGCACACACGTGTGTGCATATGCGTGCACGCACACAGTGTATACACGTGCATGGCATACACACATGTACACGTGTCTGTATATGTGTGTATATGTATGTATGTGTGTATGTGTGTGTGTATTTCCCTTTTAGAACCTCATTTTTGTCCCCTTTGCTAACGGTATCTTCCTTTGCTTTTCTGACGTTTGTAAGCTTATACACCACATGCTTTGAGTACCACATAGAATAGTGAGCATCTTAATTTTGAATAGAAATTAAGGAAATGGATTACTGTTTGGTCAAAGTTGAATTCTTCCCAAAGATCTTGGAGTTACACCCCTTCCTTCTTTCTCGAATCAGTCGTGGGGGAGAGTCGCGAGATCAGGTGTGTTTACCTTCGCAGGTAAACCTTTCTCTTTCGCCTGTGTCTGGGCCGCGGGCAGGAGCCTCGTGAGCGGGCGGCCCCTCCAGGTCCTGGGGGAGGCGGTTGCACAGGTGCAGCAGGGGTCCTGTGTCTGCTGCGGGAGGAGAGGGCAGAGATCGCAGAGGCCTTTTTAGTCAGGCATCAGCTGACGCCTGGCTTAGTCGTCTCCTGCAGGCGCTCACTGGGGGCTGAGAGGGGGAAAGCCTGAGGGCTGTCCTCCGGGGGCTGCGCAAGTGGGCAGTACGCGACACCTGCAGGCAGTAGATACAGCATGCTTGCTGAGGGGGGCGGGCAGGAAGTGCCCAGGAGTTGAGAGAAGGGCCTGGTTGTTGATCTATGGGGTCTGGAGAGGTGGCACCTGAGGTGACCTTGAGCAGGGTGTGGGGACAGAGGCCGCAGGGTGCTGCAAGCCAAGAGACTGTTCCTGAGGGCTGTGGTCTCAGGCCAGACTGCTCAGGTTCAGTTCTCAGCTGTGTGACCCTGTGCAAGTGGTTAACCTCTCTGGGCCTTGGTTTCCCCATCTGTAAAATGGGGACAATAACAGTACGTTCCTCACCGGCTGGCTGTGAGGATTAAGGAAACGAATGCTGAGCAAAGTGCACATAGTAGCTCTCAGTAATATTGTCTGTCCTATGAGTAGGTGACAGCCGCAGGCTGGAGTGGGCTCTGTCTCCTGGAGCGCCCGGGTCAGTATGTGAGGGTCCTTACAGGCAGGCCCAGGGGCTGGGACTGGTCCCCTAGACTGCGGGAACTCTGGTAAATTACACCCAGATGACGGAGCCGTGGTCTTAGTTCATGCAGCAAATACAGCTCCCTGGGCTTTATTGGTGGGGCCACGACACAGAGAGGCCGGGAGGAAAACCAGACTGTTTGCTGGCCTCACAGTGGACGCCTTGTATTTTTCTGAGTGTCTTTATCAGTAATTGATATAAAATGAGAGCATCCAGTAGCATTGTGTTAGCCACTTCATTTAGCTTTATACAATGCAAAGCTCCCTCGTTAAACCCTGGGCATTAGACCCCCATTGCTGTTCATCTTTTGATTGCTAGATGCCAGAGATAAACTAAAGACACGTTGGTGCCCATGGGCGGAGACCTGGAGGGGGACCACCCCTCGGGCTTTTCATTTTTAGAAGAGCAACAGAAGTGATCGCTGTTAACCATGATTTATAGACTGTTGGAAAGAAAAGGTTTTTCTCTGTGTGAAGTATCCGATTAGATTGGGCACTTGGTATAAATGGGATTCATATGGGAGGTGGAGGTGGGATGGGGCTTTCATTGGCTGGAAAGTTCCACAGTGAATAATTTTCCTGACGCTTGGGAGCAGAAGGCTGTTTGTTTACCGCTCAGAGTCGAATTATTCTGGATGCCCTTTTTAAACCACTGCGCCTCCCCCAGGAGATATCCTCTTTAACGACGCCCTCCCGTGGGAGGTGGTGCAGTTCTTCATTTCAGTACCCGTGCGTGTGTATTTCGGGGTAAGTACCCTGAGCAAGTTGCTGCAGGCTGAGGGTAACTGGTTTCTCCCCCTTCCTTCAAAGAGAGAAAGACCCATTTGTCAAAACAGTATGTTTTTTTCTTTCTTTCTTTTCCCTTTAAACCAGTGGAGGGATAGGGCTGGTGTTTTGGGATCGATGTTCTGCTGATCTCAAAATAGAGAAACCACCTCTCCCCAGATGGCCTTGCGGCTTCCACGGACCTGTTTCTGCTCAGAAAACACATCTGTTCGTGTAGCCCCTTTGGTGATTCTGGGCCACAGGCACTGACCTGCCCGTCAGCTGTGGGGGCGCGGCCGGGCAGATTCCGTAGGTGGTGGTCGGTAGCCGGGCTGCGTTTTACTTGTTCCTGGACGATACTTGTGCCTAGCTGTTGGACACCTCCCGATGTAGTGAATCAGTGGTGACACAGGATGGTTGCCTCGCAGCTATTCTGTCATAGAAACTGTGGGTTTCGGATCTCGGCCCCACCTTCTTGCTGTGACATTCACGTGTTGGAAAAGCTCGGGACTGCAGCACCTCCTTCCCTCCCTTCCCGTGGGGAAGGCAGTAATTCAGACCCGCTCCGCTGGCCTTCCCTTAGGGCGATTGTCGGAAACAAGCAGAGTTTGCACACAAACAGCAGACGTGTTAATTGTAAGTGATCTTTCTCCACAGTTTATTAAAGCTCCTCAAAGAGTCTCTGAAGAGACAGCCCTTGGCCCTGTCAGCAGCTCATAAAGCAACTTGGGGTTTTCTCTCCTTCACTTGGTGTGAATTTGTGAGATTCGACTTCCCCTCCCTCGAGTAAAGCTTCCAAGCAGGGTTAGTTTCCTGGAAACCCAGGCTCTCGGGAGGTTGCAGTGGAGGGCGTGAGTGGCTAGTCTGGCCAGGAGGACTCGGCAGAGCCGTCCGGTGTTCTGAACATTCATTGTTTGTTTCCCGTGTGTTCTGCCCACAGTGTGTTTCTGGATGATTTTCTTGCAAGCGGAAGGGATGAGCAGGCCCCACAGCTGGAGTTCGAGCAGCTGCCCTTCAGCCACCCGCTCTTCATCATGTTTTCCTCGGGCACGACCGGAGCGCCCAAGTGCATGGTGCATTCCGCTGGGGTAGGTCTCCGCGTCCGTTTGTCTGCTCTCTCGGGGGCTCCCCGCTGCTGCAGGCAGGCGTCCGAGTCGTCAGGCTGCGCCCATCCCCGAGGTTCCAGTGTGTGGCCCTCTCGTCTAGTGGGGAGCTTCGTGGAGATCTGGACTGGAGCCTGGGCGGTGGGGCGCTGCTGTGTGCCTGTCACCACTGTGATGGGTGGGAGGCTCCATGGCGCGACCGTGGCAAGGCATGCAGTGGGTCAGCCAGTGTCTTTCACATTGTAGGGTCATGACCCCTTAGGGGATTGTGAACTCAGTGGACGGGCCCTGCCCACATTTTAAAAAGAATGAAACAGAATAGATGAGAAGAGAAAATACAGCGCATCACCAGTTACACGAGGTGTTGGTGGTGTTCTGTGAAAGTGTCAATATATAAGTGCACTTGTGGATATGTGTGTGTGCTGGGTGGCATCGTAGAACTTATATCTGACTGTGGGTTGTGGTCAAAAAATTTGAAAGCCACTAGGTTATGTTATAAAATGAAGCTAACTGAGGAAGAGCTTACCATGCCGTGTTAGTCTGCTCTGGCTGCCATAACAAAATACCACAGCTGGGCGGCTTGAACAACAGGAATAAATTTCCTCATAGTTCTGGAGGCTGGAAGTCCAAGACAAGGGTATGAGCAGGGTTGGTTTCTCCTGAGCCTCTCTCCTTGGCTTACAGATGGCTGCCTTCTCTCTGTGTCCTCACGTGGTCTTTACTCTGCACACATCCATGGTGTCTGTTTGGTGTCTAAATTTCCTCTTTTTATAAGGACATCAGGCAAACTGGATTATCGCCCACCCTGATGGTCTTGTTTTAACTTACCTCTTGAAAGGCCCCATCTCCAGATACAGTCACATTATGAGGTGCTAGGCATTACGGCTTCAACATGAACTTTGGGGGAACGTGATTTGCCCACAACACATACTTTCCATTTTTCTATTTATTTAATCAAAAGCCCATCTTTATTAAAGCACCTGAAATAGTACATATCTACTAAGCATTAGATTTTATGCATATAGATTAGTGACTGTAGCCTTTTATTTTTGGAAAGATTTCAAGCCTGTGGAGGAGCTCCGAGGACAGCACGATGAGCTCCACGGGGCACTTCAGCCAGACGCCTCTGTTGTTAACATGCTCGTTTTCACATTTTCTTAAAACCTCTTCTGCTTCACATCTCTCTCTGTACGTGCACATATTATCACTGTCATTTTGCGTTTTGCTGGCCCTTTGCGAGGAAAGCTGAGACGTCCTGACCCCGCACCCTGAATACTTCATCGTGCGTCTGCCAAGAACAGGAACATTCTCGTGCAGAACTGTCGTGCGGTCGTCACCGCCAGGAAAGTCACGTTGGTGCGACACCGTCAGCTAACATCAGCCGTGCGCCGTCCTGCAGCGGTGTTGGCTGCGCGGCGCTCGGCTGTCACCCACCGTGTCCTTGGCCAGGGCTGCCCCTCAGCCTCCCTTTGTCTTCCTCGACATTGACGTTTTGAGGAGTCCGGGCTCCTTGTCTTGCACAGCGGCTCTCTTTGGGTTTGTCTGATGTTCCTCAGGATTGGGTCCGGATCGCGCCTTTGGGGCAGGCGTCCCGTGGGAGTGAGCTGTGTCCGTCTCAGTGTGTCACGGCAGGAGGCGCCTGGCCGGTGTGTTTCATTGTCGTCGTTGACTGGGTCGCTCTTCAGAGGTGCACTTCCTGGGTGAATCTGCTGCTTTTCTGATAGCTGCGATCGCGTCTTACCTCCTCCAGTCCTACTCTGCTTCCGTCTGGCTCGGGCCCAGACCTCCCCGGGGCTGGTGTGGGGAGCCGGCCCCCTCGCAGCCCCGTGTGCCGGGCACTCCCCCTCCAGTCGCCTGGGCCTTCCTGCCGGGCCAGCTTTGTGGCTCCCTCCACATCCAGTTTCCCGGTCTCTCCGGCGGTTGGCTTGGCCTGAAGGGAGGAGAAAGATCTGCAGTGTCTTGGTCAAACCTTGTCATATCCTTCTTTTCCCCCTCCTCAGAAGAGGAGAATGAGCCAAGTGGGAAGCCTCATGTCCTCACACTGCTTTCTCGCTGTTGCTTAATAAGATGTTGGTGTTTGAAAGTGAAGTAGGAAATTTCTGTTATTCTAGCTCATTTACCTTTTACAGGTAAATGTATAGGTACAGGTCTGCTTATACCTAGAAGCAGTTTGAATCCCTTCCATAAAAAGGAACCATTTACATTTGAATCATTTTAAAGCTTTATACAGCTTTTTACAGTGTTTTCATCAGACAGGGAAAGGAGTTAACACAGCTTCCTTATTACCGGGATCTGGATGCGCGGAAGGTCCGATGGCAGGTCATGAGATGTTACAGATGCACAAGAGCCTGTTCACGCACAGCCGGTGACTTCCCCGGAGACCACGGGCACGGGGCACGGGGACATCGGGGGCCAGAGGCTTTATTTCTGGAAGTGACACTGGCCACACTGACCTGCCTTTTCTTAGGAGGGAAACCGTCCTATTTTATTAAATCAAGTCGGGGGCAGGCAGAGTCTCAGATGCCGCTCACTATGGTTGCTGGGATCGCGTTGTCCCTGGAGAGGGGAGCCCGGTCCGCCTGGTCAAGGCGTGTTACGGTGAGCCGGAGCGCGGAGTGTTTTTACAAACCTTGCAGACAAGGGCAGGGTGCGTGGGCAAAAGAACGGACATTTTAGGAGAAACTGAAATGTCTCACTGTACTTTTATTTTTAGTGCTTTTTGCATAGTGAATGTCACTTTTTTAGGAGAGGAACATAAAAATATATTAGATATAATGTAGCGTATTCATAAAGTCCTCGTGTCTGGTATATTTAGAGTATGGAAAAATTAGGAAAAATTATACTTATTCTGTCTTCACTGGGCTCTTGCATCTCCAGAGAAGTGACTAAGCATCTTGCCCATTTTCAAGAGTTGTCCTGACAAGAAACTTGAGAACAGCGAGGTGAAAGGCCGCAGCAGTGGGACCATTGGCAGTTCCTCTGGTTTACTGGGGAGGGTGTCTTCCTGGTTGGCTGTTTGCTGGTTTGTGTTTTCTAAGTCCATAGAAGGTCTCAGAAAGCAGCTTTCCTTTTCCTTTTAAATTAAATTACTCTTCTTGCTTAAGGCCCAGGAAACCATGCTGCTCCTAGTTCCTTACCCTGAGATTCGGCCATAAATATTTAATTACGGGAAAAACCAATGTGAATTGTTAAGGTTCATACAGAGAGATTCTTGAGGGAGCAGCAAAGCCTGGCTTGTTTCTGCCCCCGAGAGGATGAGGATAATGGACAGATGAACAGATGTCGGTTATAAGTAGGCCACGCTGCAGCAGTTCGTGTAGGTGAAGGTACAGATTGAAATTAAATGCCGATTTTAAGTAAAAAAGACAATGGGGGGATGTTCCTGGGGCTGGCCTGGTGGCGCAAGTGGTTAAGTGCTCCACTTTCGCAGCCTGGAGTTTGCAGGGTCGGATCCCGGGTGCGCACCAATGCACTGCTTGGCAAGCCATGCTGTGGCAGCTTCCCATATAAAGTGGAGGAAGATGGGCATGGATGTTAGCCCAGGGCCAATCTTCCTCACACGCAAGAAAATGTTAAAAAAAAAAAAAAAAGTGTTCCTGAAATGTTGTTGTCCCCAAATCATTGCCTACCCACCCCGAGTGAGAACAGCGTGTGTCATGGAACTTTCCAGAGGAGCCCGTGCCTGCCCTGGCTGAGGAGGCCGTCCCTCACCCCCGTGATGCACTCTCGATAAACCCACTGGAGACTCGGCTCCTAGAGGCTGCAGGCAGCCTCGGGGAGTCCTCAGAAAGGACCTGTCCCTCCCCGCAGTCTTCCTCCTGGCTTTACAGGACCCACGCTCGGCCGGTCACAAGGGCGGCCCTCCCTGCCTGGTGATGGGTGCCATCTGGGACAGACTGTGGAACAGGAGATCCGGCTCTTGAATTAGAGAATTTGTTGGGTGGGATTGTTTCTGCTGAGCTTTTAAAGGGGTTGTCTCCTCCTCTTGGCTTGTTGTTCTATTTCTCTTGGGTACCGTGAGGGTCGTCAAGGCTGGTTTTAATACGTGGGTCCTTGCTTCAGCCCCAATCGTTCCTACACAAACAGGGCCACCCTTGGCATCGGCCAGGTGCTGGCATCTGCGGAGCAGACTGAGTGCAGTGGTCTGGCCCTGTCAGGGGCCTCGGAAGGGCAGCGTCCCCTGTCTAGCCTCAGCATCGTGTGTGAGATCCATTGTAAACTGGGGAAACTGAGGCCGAGAGTGATTACGTGGCTCTAGAGCCCCTTGCTCTGCTCTCTGGCTTGTGCTTGTGATGGGAACCTTCCGGTTCTCCCTGTCACCCTGTCACCTGCAGACAGACACGGAGTTGTTTGCAACGAGTGGGTCTGGGCAGCAGAATACTATATAGCTGTAAAAAAAAACCCATCTGTGTCCTGATAAAGAGCTCTGGGATATGTTAAGTGGAAACAGCCAAGTGCAGGACAGTGCGTCCCAATGAAAACCGGCAGGAATCAGGAGATGCTGACAGGCAAGGACTCTCCCTGGAAATAGCACGGGAAACCCGTTCACCGGCAGCTGCGGGAGAACCGGGTGCGGGGCAGGAGAGAGGGCAGGCTTCTCACGGTGTGTGCTTTCGAGTTGTGGACCACGCGAATAGACTGCCCGTTAAACATTAAAATAAAAAAATAAAGACTGGGCGTGGGGGTGGGAGGGTGGGGGTCTGACTAGATGAGCTGAAAGCAGGGTCTCGTGCTGCCCCTCGGCCAAGGCGTCCCTGAGCTCTGACCTGGGGCCGCAGGGAGCTGCAGACACAGCCCTGGCTGTGAGTTCCCGCGACAGTCTTGCTCTGCCCTCCGCCTTCCCTGTCCGCCGCGAGGGGCAGGGCGGGCCAGCGCCCTGTTCTGGATGCTGTGTTGTTGCCCGGAACCCCTGATCTTCGCTCTTGTCTTTAACTGTGACCCCCACTCTACGGCCTTCACTCCCCTCCGCCTGAGTTGGGGGTCCCCTGATGCTCCCCAGCACTCTGGTGCCCAGAGCTCGAGGGCTGGCAGGAGCTGTCAGAGGCTTCCCCTCGGGTCCTCAGCAACTCTTGGGGCAGGTGGCAGGAGCGTCACTCATCAAGGTGAGGATGCTCAAAAGTCTGCCTCCTCTGGAAAGAAAACGGAGATTTACTTCTCCTCCCCTGGGGCAGCGCGTCTGTGACCTTCTCGCCCTGCATGGGGCGCCGGCAGAGGACGCGGCCCGGGTCACCGAGTCTCTCGTCTCTCCCCAGGGCACCCTCATCCAGCACCTGAAGGAGCATGTTCTTCACGGCGACATGACCAGCAGCGACATCATCCTGTATTACACCACGGTGAGTGGGCTCTGCAGGCGTGGAGGCAGGGAGTGTGCTAGGTGGGTGCCCCCCCCCCGCCGCGTCCCTCCGAGGACTCGCTTTGCTTCCTTCAGCGTAGCCAGGCTGCGGGCTCCCTTTGCGTCTGTCTTTCCTTGTCTTCCCGCCTCTCCCCGGTCGCATGTAACAAGAGCAGGAGCACACGAGAGCGGCTCCTGGAGCGGCTTCTGCTGGACGCTCTGTCCCCTGGTGTCCGCAGCTCTCCCTCTGGCCCTGCCTTCCCCCTCCATCCTGCTGCCCACTGGGGTCTCGGCACCGCCTCGTCTCCTGAACTTGGCCTGTGCTCCCCCGTTGACCCTGGTTGCCTCTGGTTGCCTCTGGAAGACCTAGTGCGCTGGGGAACCCTAGAGAAACTGAGGGGACTGACTGCCGATTGGGTCCCCTGAGCCCCTGGAGGTGCGGGCTGTCTCATGACTGGGATCTGCAGTTCGGCCAGCGGGACAGGAGCCGGCTGAAGGTGGCATGAGGATGTCAGTTCTTAATTGCCCAGTAGATCGTGACTCTGACCCATTCAGGCAGAAAAGTGTTTTGCTGGAAGGCTCTTGGGTGGTGTAAAGGCAGAATAACGGCCCCCAAAGATGTCACCGTTCTAATCCCCAGAAGCTGTGAGTGTGTGGCCTTATGTGGCCCGCAGGTGTGATTCAGTTAAGGATCTTGAGATGAGGAGATCGTCCTGCGTTATCCAGGTGGCCCGGTGTGACCCGGGTCCTTACGAGAGGGAGGCAGGAGGCCCGAGTCAGAGAAGCTGTGACGACAGAAGCAGAGATGGGAGTGACGTGGGGCCCCGAGACGAGGAAAGCAGGCGGCCTCTGGAGGCTGGAAAAGGCAACCAGCTTCTCCCCAGGAGCCTCCAGGGGGATGCAGCCCTGCCGACACCTTGATGGAGGACTTCTGACCTCCAGGACTTTCAGATAATAAGTTTGTGTTGTTTTAAGCCACGAAGTTCGTGGCCGTTTGTCATGACAGCAGTGACGGGAGAGGCATGAGGTGGCTCAGTGACTGCGGCAGCTGGGGATCCAGGCGAGGAGACCCGGCGGGGCCTGAGGGGGGCTACCCAGCGAGACCAGAGCCACCCCCACACGGAGGGCCCGAGGTGCGCTGTCCTTGCTCCAGGAGATGTGCCCCTTCTGCCCAGCCCCCGAGAAGCTGCAGGCAGAGGTCTGGCCCCTCAGCTTCCCCCCGAGGGGTTTGCCCCAGACCCTGCAAAGGCTGCAGCATTCCCCCCATGAGGAAGGGGGTGCAGGCGGCCGCAAAAGCCGACGTCCGCGAGTGCCTGCTCTGCGTCAGCCGTCGCCGGGACCGATGGTGGAGATGCGTGGGTGGGGCTCTGCCCTCGGTTTACAGGGTTTAGTGGGGACTGTGCGTCCTCAGACCGACACTTGGGTTCAGGAGTTGGAGAGATGCCTGACCTTGACGTGGAAAGGTAAAAGCTTAGGACAAGTTGAAGGAAGGGGGATTTCATCCCAAGGGGGGGATCTCAGAATCGGCTTTTTCCAAGACCACAAGTGTCAAGAGGTTCCATTTCCTGCATGACAATTCTGCACTGAGTTTTTAAGGAAACTGAACACTGGAGGCATGTCCCTATCCTGTGAGGTTGGTGCCCGGACCCTGGCTGTGGCCCTGGGGACAGACCCCTGAGACCCAAGCAAACACAAGAAGGGGAGCCTGGGAGCACTCTGGCTGTGTGACCGGGGGTAGGTCGCCACATCTCTCTGTGAGCCCAGCTGTCAACCAGGGGGCTTGGGCAATGACCTGGCTTTCCTTCAGGGAGAGCCCTGCTCTCTTTCTGCCCGCGTGGGGGGCAGCGGTGCCGGGCACCACCAGCCTCTGGGCCCTTTGCCTGCAGGAACCACAGCCCGCAGCGTTCCTGGAGTGTCGTTTTGAATTGCAGAAAGCGCCGGCAGCTGCACTGATGCCTGACTCAGCTGCCTCTCGGGACATGGCCAGTTAAAGTGACAGGGTGTGGCTTGGTGGTTAAGTGCGCGCGCTGCAATGCTGGTGGCCCGGGTTCGGATCCCGGGTGCGCATCGAGGCACCACTTCTCCGTCCATCCTGAGGCCGAGTCCCACATACAGCAACTGGAAGGATGTGCAGCTATGACATACAACTATCTGCTGGGGCTTTGGAGGGAAAAAATAAAATAAATAAAATCTTTAAAAAAAAAAAAAAAAAAAAAAAAAAAAAAAAAAAAAAAATTAAAAAAAAAAAAAAAAAAAAAAAAAAAAAAATAAAGTGACAGGGTTCACGTTGAGGGGGCGGACACAATGGGAGGTCTCAGAACTGAGCAGTGTCCTCACAGGCATTGCACTTTTCCGGGAAGCGTCCTGCCCGTGAGGGAGTGGGCAGTTGGATTTGTCCGTGGAGCAAGCCTGGTGCCAACAGCAGCCTCGGGTGGCGGTTGGTGTGGGGGCCTCGCCCTGCCTGAGTCAGGCCTGTGAGGTGTCGGGCGCGGCGACGCTGGGTTCCTCTCTTGAGAATGCTTCCTAAATAAAAGAGACTCAACGTGGGATGTTAAAACCTGTTAACAAAGCAGCCCAGCTCACTGGAGATTTTCGTGTGGCCCCTGTTCCCTCCGTGGTGTGGTTTGCCGCCACACTTACTGGTTGTGTCCTAAGTGCTCTTGCCTGTGGGTTCTTAACTGGGGCTGACCTCAGGGCCGCAGGTACCGCCCTGGCGGGATTCTGACCTGGGGGCGTGGGGCAAGCCCGGGACACGCAGCGGCGTCAGCCCCGGTCTTGCTGCAGGGCCCGCTCGCCTCCTTGCGGAGGGCGCGGAGGGGGTTGTCCCTTTGCCCTCCGGGCCGAGATCCCTCTGGAGCTTCCCTGCTGCTCCCTTGCTCTGTCGTGGTATTTGTTCAGCTCAGGGACCGCCCACACGTTCTCCCTGTGTGGATGGGACCCTTGTCACTGGGGCTGTGAGCCCCTTTTGGCCTTTAAAAATTTTTTTGAAAAGCTGTGCTTGCCTTCACGCAGCGCACGTGGGTACGCGGTGAGAGGTTGGCGTCTTCCGGGCCCAGGGGCGGCCACTTCAGTCCCTCTCGTGTGTGTTCTGTGTATTCTTGCGGGACGTGTCGATGGCTTTACCGGTCTCGGGGTGTGTGTGTGTGTGTACACATCTGCCCTTTTCTGTGTACAAGTGGGGCTGGGCTGCACCCCTCCGCTGGGCTTGTTTTGCCCCTAAGTTTGTCTTCGAGAATGTTCCACATCCACCTAGACCTCATTCTTCTCACGGCTGCATAGTGGCTGCCTCCCGAACGCTCGCTGGGAGCCAGGTGCTGTTCTAAACCTTTGATGGAGTCCACTGACGCGGTGTCTGGTGTTCCAGACCACCTGGCACCATCCTGCGTCGATGGGCGTCTCCGTTGCTTTCAGTCTCTCGCTGTCACCAGCGAGGCCGCAGTGAACAGTCTTGGCCACATCTTAGTGCACATGTGTGAGCCTGTCTGTACCGTACACTCTTGACGTAGAACTGCTGGGCCAAAGCGTCGTGCATTGGGCATGGGCGGTTCTCACCAACTTTTGGCTCAGTTTTAGGTGGCTTTCTGGGGATGCGAGAGGCTGAGTGACAGCTGACAGGGAGCTGGCCCAGCGCTCGGCTGACACCTGCTCCTTCTGTCTGTTCTAGGTCGGCTGGATGATGTGGAACTGGATGGTGTCTGCTCTTGCCACGGGGGCGGCCTTGGTCTTGTACGACGGCTCCCCCCTGGTGCCGACGCCCAACGTGCTCTGGGACCTGGTGGACAGGATCGGGTAGGTTCCCAAGGCACGCGCTCAGCCCCAGAGCTGCGCTGCCGTCCCCTGGTGTATGAGTCTGTGCCGTCTCTGGAATGCTTTGCTATTCTGGATGTCTCCCTCTCGGGGGTGCTGTGGGAGGTGTCAGAAATAGTTGAAGTTGTCAAGGAGGGGCAGGAAGGGGTGGGCGCCCCTGACAGGGACAAACCAAGGAGATGGGGACTCTTCCGTGTAGAGGAGGCCCCACCCACCCCGCCCCAGGGCCTGGGAGTGAGCTCTCAAACATCAGGGCTTCGGGAGCAGGAATGTGACCTTATTTCCATAACTCGAATCTAAGAACTTCCGGAGAGGCTCAGAGGAAGCTGAGGGCCAGTGAGAGCGCTGTTTCACCTGGGGCTCCTCCCCTCAAGGGTAAGACAGAGTGTGACAGGCCGAGTGTGCAGATCTGGCCCGGGGACATGTGGACAGACTCACGAATGGTCCGTGCAAAGTCTGTTACTGGGGCGTTCGCAGCCTGCCTTTCTCCTGAGCCCGACAGTGAGGAGGAGAGCCCTGCTTGTCACTAGCTATCCCTCAGTGCTGGCCAGCTGCCTCCTGGAGTCTCCTCGAACCCATCACAAGTATGCACCAAGATGCTTTTCCAGTGCTGCAGAGGGCGTCTCTGCCTCCTGCAGTCCTGTCGACAGCCTGGTCCTTCGTTGGGTGGCAGGTGGGGTCCTAACGAGCAGAGGGAGAAGCCAGTTACAGTGGAGCATCCACACCCCTCCTGGGGTGAGAGTTGTGACAGTGGGAAGGATGAAGGGCCCCATTTCTCCCCCATCCCCTCCTCCTTGGCGTTGTTAGAAACTGTCAGAAGACCCTGCTCATCACGCTCTCTTTGCTGATGAATTAATCATGACTGGTTGATGCATAACCGGTCTTGCCATTATGGTTCGTGGTCACTGTTGGCCTGATGATGGTGTTTCCAGGAAGGAGAAGACAGAAGCCAGCAGAGCTCCGGGGGCCCGCAGTCAGCCACGCTCGGAAACATTCTCATTACTTTAAGTTTGAATTCGTTCGCGGTGGGGAAACAGAAGAAGCCACTAATGTTTTTAAATCCTTGGCCATTAACATTTTAAATATAACTTTGCCTGGCCTGGGTAATATTTAAATCCTGACATTTGGCTCACAATATTGGTGAGGAAGGTTATTTCCTAATGAGATTGTTTCCAGTGAAAGGTTAATGGGATCCCTGGGAACCTGGATGGCTTCCAGATCTTTACCCGTGTGTGTGTGTGTGTGTGTGTGTGTGTGTGTGTGTGTGTGTGTGTGTGAGAGAGAGAGAGAGACAGACAGACAGACAGACAGACAAGAAGAGGAATGGAGAGGAAAATATACATCATTGGGGCTTAGAGCTAATGAAGGTGAAGGATGAAGGACCCCCCGGAAACCCAGTGTGTGAGTGTGTGTGCGTGTGTGTGTATGCATGGGTGAGAGTATGTGTGTACATGAGTATGTGTGCAGAGGTGTATGTGAAAATGTGTGATTATGTGGGGATGTGAGCAAGTGTGAGCATATGTGCATGTGAGGGAAAGTGAGTGAGTGTGTATGCATGTGCATGGTTGTAATGGGTATATGAGAGTGTGTGCACACGCGGGTGGTGAGCATGTTTGTGTATGAGCGCCTGTGTGTGATTGTGTGAGTATGTGTGTGTACGTGCCTGTGTGAGTGTGTTCACAGCTTGTGCCCTGGGTCTGCATCTGCCTTCCATCGACTGGGTCGGCCTGTGCCCCGGACGCTGACTGAGACGTGGCCTTGGCGTCCGCAGGCCCCCTGCCCGGCCCTCCCCGGGCTGGGAGAGCTTACCTGCCGGCCTCAGCGAGGTGGTGCACCTTCGCAGCCTGGGCGGGGCCGGGTGAGGGTGCTTGGGAGGACCGTGGGCCTCCGTGTCTGCTCCGACCGCCAGCGGCAGTTACAGGAGTGGCCAGGTGGAGGGGAGGACGCCTTCAGCTCAGCCTTGTTCACATGCTGAAAACCAAATAAATGTGGGCGCAGAAAACCCTACTGGTTTGTGGCAAGGGGAGCACTCCTCAGAACCGCAGGGCGGGCAGAGTCGGCCAGTGCTGTTTCAGTGCCTCCGACTTGCATAACAGTGTCGATAAATTTAGGAAGGAAATCTTCCTTGACTGTTACTATGTCGGCTCACAGACATATTAACAGGTTGGATAACTGAGTGTCTGTTTTGGAGGCACGAACAAGAGTCTTTTAATTTTTTATTTATTTATTTATTTTCCCAAAGCCCCAGTAGATAGTTATGTCATAACTGCACATCCTTCTAGTTGCTGTGTGTGGGACGTGGCCTCAGCATGGCCGGAGAAGCGGTGCGTCGGTGTGCGCCCGGGATCCGAACCTGGGAAGCCAGCAGCGGAGCATGTGCACTCAACTGCTAAGCCATAGGGCTGGCCCCCAAGAGTCTTTTAAAAGACTAGTTTTCTGCTTCATTTGGGGCGTATTTCTGGGCTCTGGGAGTCTAGCCGGGGGAACATTCTGGTTGGGGTCAGGGCACAGGTCTGGGATCTTTTGTCCAGGATTTCCTGGTAACTGGGCAAGCGATGAAGTCCCGAATTGCCCGTGTCCCGTCTCCTGGCGGGCGTACTGTAAGATGGTTCTCGATGGGGCATCGTGATGGGTGAGCAAGCTCATCTTTCAAGTGACCTCGTTGGCAACCATTTGCCGGTACCATGTGCACACCCTCCACGTGTTTGGGTGTCTGCTCTGTGCCAAGCACCCTGCTGGTCCCTGAGTGCACACAGCAGGACGGAGGTGGAGCAGGTGGCTGTCCCCATGGGGCTGGCTCCCGAATGGGGGAGGTAAGGAGAGGAGAAAGAGGGTGACTTCAGGCTGCAGTGAGCGCTGTCGTGGACCTGGGGTCAGGAGGCCCCTCAGAGGTGACGGCGTTGGGGCGGGGGCCTGGACGTTTACGACTGGGGGACGTGTGTTCCAGGCAGAGGGCAGAGCAAGGGCCGGGGGCCCTGAGGGGGGCCCGAGATTGGTGTGTTGGGGAAGCTGGAAGGAGACCCTTGTGGCCCAAGTATAAAGAGTCGTGGGCCGGGGAGGGAGGCCAGTAGAACCGGGTGGGGGTGTGGGGGCAGATCCCCCAGGGTGTCCAGGCTGTGCGCAGGGTGGGTTTGTTCTGCATGAAATAGGATTCCTCCGGAACGTTGGAGGCAGGGGAGCTCCCCGATTTGGTCCGTGTTTTAAAACTCAGCCTCGCTCCCACACGGAGGAGGAGTTGTGGGGCTGAGGGCAGGTGCAGGGAGCCGGGTCTTAGGCTGATGGAGACCCCCAGGGGCGGACAGGAGGAGCTGTCTATGCACGGCCCCTCGCAGGCGCTGGCGAGGGGCATGGGTCCCGACACAGAGCCGGGCAGCCGCCTCATTCTCCCCGTGGTGGTCCCGACGGTACTGCCACGATCCGCAGCCCCGGGCGCCCACACAGGCTTCCACATGGCGGGAACTAAGTGTTTTTTTTAAACCATCTTGTGCAAGCCCGGGAGGCAGACGGGGAGACCTTGCCAGTCCTTCAGACGCAGGCGGGGCCCAGGCCCGGGACCTTCTCGGTCTTTGTACGTCGTCAAGGTCAGGGTTACACGTGTGACTCAGGTGCTCTTGAGAACCTCAGAGAGCCCTCCATTTTGGGGAGGGGGCTGGGGGCGAGTAGAATAAAACCCACGTGTTATGTTGACGTGGTTGGTGATTGGAGGTTCTGCTGTCAGGGCCGAGCGTTCCACCATGAGAGGGAGACGGGCTCCCTGGTTTTCTGTTAAAACATAGATATTCCCTAGGGGCGACACCCTAATCCTCAGAGGTGATTTTGAATTAGTTAATCAGACTGTCTGAGTTTATGAACTATCCATGGGGGGGTGTGGTGGGAGGAGTGGGTACATTTCCTGCTTCCCACAACCTCCCCCTCCGGAAGCAGCCCTCTCTAGGGCACAGCGACCCGGGAGGTGCCTGAGGTTTTCGTGGCAGCAGGTGGGCCTGGTGAAGTAAAGAGGATAAGGGGGCAGGAGGTACAAAGGCAGTAGCTTTGGGGGGGCCCCACCCTGCTGTTGGCCGCTCCCAGCCCAGCAGGCCCTGAATCACTGAATGTCCTGTGTCTCTGCCTGTCAGCATCAGACAGCGTGTGGCGGTCTCCCCAGAATGGATGAGGTCTCACTGCCCAGAGGGACGAGGAAGGCTCTTGATGTTATAGTCTCCTTTGGGCCCCACGAGAAAACGTTCTTTAGTTAGGAGAGTTTACACGTGAAGGGCTGCCTTGCTGGAAGAACAGCCAAGTAAGGAAATGGAATATTAACCAGCGCTCTCCCCTTGAAAACACGCTGATTTATACCCAACATAATGTGTTGTCCTCCGAGTGCGAACGTGGGGATCAAGGACTGTAGGTTCTGAGTGTTGGAAAAGAGAAGAGCTGTGATTTTCTAAGTTTCGTAAAAATATGAGCTTGTTTAAGAAAAGGCGATGGGTTGAGAATTCCAAGTGTGGCACTTGTTCTAACGAAAGACCCTGGAAGATGAACATGTGAGATTAGAATTGAGGGGTCCGATTTTGGGGCCTCCTTAGGCTTCCAGAGAAAATATGCGGTTGGGAAGACCATGGGTTTATGTGCAAACGGTTGTTTTAAATAGAACCAAATGTTAGAGGGGGCTGGGGCACTCTGCACGTTGGAGTCGGTGTGCAGACCTGTCACTGCTGTCACCTGTCACCGAGTAAACACAGGTGTTGGGACTTGCTTTCAACTAAATGTGAAGTATTAATTCAACCCAGAAAAATGATGTGTCTTGGATTTTGCAAACTTGTCAGAAACGAGTCACTAATTTTAGAAAGCTTTGGTGCATGGAATAAGCAAGAGCCTTGAAGAGTTTCTGGTGTGTTCTTTCCCTCCTGCACCCTTAGCATCACCATCCTTGGGACGGGTGCCAAGTGGCTGTCTGTGCTGGAAGAGAACGACTTGAAGCCGGGTGAGTGGGCCTCGCAGAGCCTGTCCCCCGCGTCCAGCCGGGAACGCAGATCCGCTGTGTTACCTGTTCCTGCGCGCGGGGCAGGCCCAGGGGGTCGGGCGGAGTTCTCATCTCCCGTGATTCTCCGCCCTAGCGGAAACCCACAGTCTGCAGACGCTGCACACCATCCTGTCCACCGGCTCCCCGCTGAAAGCCCAGAGCTACGACTACGTCTACAGGTGCGTCAAGAGCAGAGTCCTCCTCGGCTCCATCTCAGGTACGGCGCCTCCCTGTCTGCCTGCGCCGTGGAGGGGGTTCTGGGTGAGTGAGAGGAAGTGGGGTCACGGCCAGGCTGGCCCCCTAGGTGTGCACACCCTCTGACCCAGCGAGTCCCCTGGCCTGAATTTATCCCACGTAAACAATCAGCGGGATGTGCAAATACATACCATTGATGTTCCTTGTTTGCGGGAGGTGTGCTTATTCAAGTTGTGTGAGCACTGAGTTAGCGAATACTGAACCATTCCTCCCGGGGAGATATATATGAATACACACAGACACGTCACGTCGATTATCATCTTTAATCCTAAAAACAGCTCATCCTGGCAGATTCTGTTTTCTTTATTTTACAAAAGAGAAAATGGGGTTCGGAAGCGTTAAGTGACACAGCCTGAGGCTGCCCCACTACCTGGGTACAGAGTCCAGCAGGCCCCAGAGCCTGAGCGTCCTGCCCTGCCCCAGCCGTCTCCGTCTGCTGCTCTTCTCTGTGTGAGAGCTGAGACCAGAGGGCAGGGGCACTGCCTGGTTGGGCCCCAGCTGGGAACATGCCCGTCAGGTGGTTCGAGTTTTTCACCACTCTGCACATGTCCTCCAGCGACTTTGACAGCGCTCAAGTGTTGATTTTGAGGTTACAAATAAATTTTATCAAGCAGCCAAATTCACAAATACAGAATCTGTAAATAGTAAAGATTGACTGTATATAATGACAATTATTGTGACATTGTTTATATTAGTTAAAAACTGGAAATCATCTGTATGCCTAGTAGAAGGGAATTAATTGAATAATTTATAGTGCATCCTTCATTTCTGCAGCCATTAAAAGTGGCATGATGAAAGTATTTATTTAGACGGAAATGTATTTGTTGACATTGACAGATGGCCATGGATATGCTGAGTGAGGAAAGCAGATTGCAGAATTACAAAGGGTGGTCATTTTTGTAGATTGAAAAAAGGAATATGGGGTGTATATCTATATGCACACTCATATGGGTTTATACATATATGTATATGGGTGTTAGGACCTCGAGTGACTTTCCAGGTGGCTGGTGGTGTATCTGCTCGACGGGATCCGTGATGCCTGCAAAGCAAGAGCAGTGTGTCTGAGATGCTGCTATTTGTACGACGAGACGTTGGTCTCTGTGCAGAGTCCCTCTGGCCACGGAGGGGCCAGGTGTCAGGGAGACGCGGTTCACTCTATCCTCCTGAAACTTCTGAGTTTTGTTCTCTGTGTCAGCCGGGGACTAGGGTGCTGGGAGAAAGCAGGGAGGACGGCGCATTTCGATTCTCTGCCTGAGGGAAGAAATAGACCCGTCTTAGAGTTGAGGCCAGAATTAAACCCTGCTGGTTGTTGGAAGCATCGAGTCATTTTGTGTGGATCTGGAGCCCCCCTGACCCCTAGTTCGTGTCCACAGAGTGTGATTAAGGAGAAAGCATGTTTTTAAATTAAGAAGATATCTTTCCAGGTATGCAGACAAGTATAAAGAGGAGCAGAGACTCCAGTGTCCAACCCGCTGAGTTTAGGAAAGGGACCTGTGTGTCTGTGCATGTCTGTGTGTGGTGTGCGTGTCTGTGTCGGTGTGTGTGTGTGTGGTGTGCGTGTCTGTGTGTGGTGTGTGTGTCTGTGTAGTGTTGTGTCTCTGTGTGGTGTGCGTCTGTGTATGTGTGCATCTGTGTAGTGTGTGTGTCTGTGTGCGTCTGTGTAGTGTGCATGTCTGTGTGGTGTGCGTCTGTGTGTATATGTGCGTCTGTGTATGTGTGCGTCTGTAGTGTGTGTGTGCGTCTGTATGCGTGTGTGTGGTGTGTGTGCGCGTCTGTGTAGTGTGTGTGGTGTGCGTCTGTGTGTGGTGTGCGTGTCTTGTGTGTGGTGTGCGTGTCTGTGTGTGTGTGCGTGTCTGTGTGGTGTGCGTGTCTGTGTGTGTGCGTGTCTGTGTGTGGTGTGCGTGTCTGTGTGTGTGTGCGTCTGTGTGTGGTGTGCGTCTGTGTGCGTGCGTCTGTGTGTGCATGTCTTTGTGTGTGCGTCTGTGTGCTGTGCGTGT